CCAGGAGTCGGAGGTTGCTGTGAGCTGTAATGCCACAGCACTCTACCCAGGGGGACAGCTTGAGGCTCTGTCTCCAAAAAAAAAAAAAAAAGAAAAAAAAAGAAAATATTCCCACTTGCTTCCCTTGTTGATTTCCAACATTGTTAGTGTAGTAATCTAGTTTAGGTACTGTATAAATAAACTGTTGACCTGGTTCGGTGCTGGCTGCAGTCATCAGCTGTGTCAAACCTTCCAATCCCATCCTTATCTCTGGTGTGATCTTTGTCTTTTATGTGTTTTATTTCTTCATCCCCCACTATTCCCACTTTGGTATGTTTATTCTTTGCCCTGGCTCACAAAGTTTATTCTTCATTCTCTGGGGAAGTCACCCTGATGAGCTCTGTCCCACTTTAGGGACCTCCATGAACTCAGCATTGCCACAGCCCCTTGCCAATGGTGTGGGCCAAGCTCAGTGGAGTATCTAGGTAACTTTGGGTCTTTCCAGTGCCCTGAAGAAGCAGGAAGCAGATGGCCAAGGGCTGAGGACCACCCTCAGGGCCTTCATTCCTCTCTGACCCTGAATCCTAGACCCATTGACATCACACTTGATCATGACTCCACTCACAGCCTCCACTCTGGTGTTTGGACAGATTTCCTGAGCCAAGGATGGAGCTTGTGTGGCTTTATGTGCAGCCAGGTCCTAGAGAGGTTTGGGGGTTTAGGCTCATGGCCACAGTCAGCCAGGAGTGAGAGCAGCTGCTTCAGACTCAGCAGGCAAGAGTAGGTGCCACACCTCTTAGAGCTTCACACCTTCTCTGGGTCCCCCTCCTGCTGCCAGGACCCAGATCCCTTCAGGCCTCCGCTCTCACCTTTCTGACTCACAGAGACACCTATGCCACCATAGCAGGAAGGGACAGAGATCCTTTCTTCCGAGTCATGGTCAGTATTCAGCAAATCCACTTCATCTTCTGCGGACAGAGATGCCTAGGTCATCACTCTGGGACCAAGGCCCAGAGGAACTCAGGTCCTGGGACCTGGCCAGGGCAAGAGTAAGAGGACTCAGGAGGCTGGGAACAAAGATCCAACCAGAATGGGCCTCTGCTTAGAATTCTCCCAGCTCAGCTCCCAAAGGTCTTGAGTAGCCAGTGCCAGCACCACAGTGGGGGTAGAAGTGGAGTTGGAATCCAAAGGCCTGAGCTCACAGAAGTCAGGGCAGTGATGTGAGGATAGGCCTCTGGGGAGGCTATAACAGCTAAAGGAAGCTGTCAGGGGGAAGGGGACCCCATGTCCCTGGGCTGGGTAATTTCTCAACTTTCACATGATTTCTGGGTACCCACAAGCCAGTCCCATAGTGGGTCAAGGGGTTCAAATGTTAGTGATGACATCTACTGTGGGTATAGGAGCTCCTAATCTGAGAGCTGCCAGGAGGGAAACCCAGTCCTTAGGGAGACAAGGTGGGGGAGTTGCACATATCATTGAGGCAGGCATTGCTCAAGCTAACAAGGGCCTGCATCATGTTCTTTCTCTCCATCTGCCCAAGCATAGGAGGTCCAGGCAGATGGGAGGTGAAGAGGACACAAGGATGGAGCCCACACTTACCATCTCCGTAGATTCGTATCCCTCGCCTCCTGGGAACCCAGGCCGGAAGGAGAAGAAGGAAATGCAAGTTAGGACCCCCTATACCATCACCAGAGAAAAGGTTCTGGGTGCCAGGCCCCAGTCAAGGCTAAAAGAGATGGAGGCTGGGCCTCTGCCTTCTGAAGACTTCCACCCTGAATCCCATTCCCATCCTAGGGTGAGCCAATGCAGAAGGAAGGGGAAAGAGCTGAAGGGCAGGGTCTTGGATGAGGAGACTACAAGACTTGTAAAGCCCACTTGCAAAGCCCCAGCTCTGTTCTGCAAAGGTTGTGAGACCCCAGGCATGTCGCTTAACCTCTCTGGATTTCCTTGGTCTTAGAATGGTTCAAAGTGGTATTCAGAAGAGCAAGAAAGAAAAGAGAGATTTAAAAAAATACTTTGGGCTCAGCACCCATAGCACAGTGGTTATGGTGCCAGCCATATACACTAAGGGTGGCGGTTTCAAACCCAGCCCGGGCCAGCTAAACAACAATGATAACTACAAAGGAAAATAGCCAGGCGTTGTGGTGGGCACTGATAGTCCCAGCTAGTTGGGAGGCTGAGGCAAGAGAATTGCTTGAGCCCAAGAGTTTAAGGTTGCTGTGAGCTGTGATGCCACAGCACTCTACCAAGGGCAACACAGTCTTTTTTTGAGACTGTCTTAAAAAAAAAAAAAAAGAAAAAACAAACTTTGAAATGATGAAAGTGCTAGACAGATGTAATAGATTTCCTTCACTGAGAGCTCAACATAGGGCCTGGCTGGGGATAGATAAACCATCAGTGTTTGCAGAATTCTTACTTTTCCTTTATCTTTCTCTCTCTCTCTCTTTTTTTTTTTTTTTTTTGGAGACAGTCTAACTCTGTCCTCCTAACTAGAGTCCAGTGGCATCATCTTAGCTCGCTACCACCTCAAACTCCCGGGCTCAAGCAATCCTCCTGCATCAGCCTCCCAAGTAGCTGGGATGACAGGTACATGCCACCATGCCCAGATGATTTTTCTATTTTTTGTAGAGATGGGGTCTCACTCTTGCTCAGGCTGGTCTCCAATTCCTGGCCTCCAGTGATTCTCTTCCCTCAGCCTCCCAGAGTGCTGAGATTACAGGTGTGAGCAGTGTTTGGAGAATTAATAAATGAACAATGAATGAATAGATGGACCCTGAGCCACTCCTATAGGGGCCAAACCTTACTAAAAGGCACAACCCAGTTATGCTTAGACACAGAATAGGGCACCCCAGAAGAAGATATAAAGAGAAGGAAGGACATCAGGACAAGCTATGTAACTCTTCTTTGTATTCTGCAAGACACTAAGAGTCATTCTTCTCTGGCCACAGAAGGATCAAGGAGGAGACAGGGGGAGGGACCCAAAGACCCCATGAGGCTGATTCCTTACCCAGGATTGACAGGCTCCGACTGCAGGGGCACTTTCCGGGTCTTACTAAGGGAGGCCAAAGGTGAGCTCATAGTTCTAGATTCTAGCTGTCAGGAGCTCCCTGAGAGAAAAGAAGGAACTCAGCCCCCGGGGACAGAGGGAACCCAGGGCTTCAGGTCCAGGGGGAGGTCTGAAGTTTCCTCTTTCCTGGGTATTATTACTAACAAGGAGCATTGTCCAGGAGGCAGTGTCCCTCACCTCCTCCCACTGCCCCAACAGAGGTCATGTCTGCCTGCTCCTCTGGGTATGTGGCTCTCTGCTCTGACCCTGGAGACCTTTGGCCTGGTGGTGCTTGGGAAAGGGCTGTGGAGGTGAGGATGGGATGCAGAGATAAGTCAGAAGCCTGGGACTTCCCCAGACTTAGAACCTGGGAAAAACACTTCCCAGGAGGCTGTCCATCTATCAGCAAGCCAGTTGACAAAGTCCAGGCATCTCCTTCCCTCCTACAAGAAACCAGGCACCCCTCCTAACATCTCAGAGGGGCAATCCAAAGTCAAGATTCAACCAAGACAGAGTCCACATGATATGGAGGTTAAGAGGCCTGGTTCTGGACAAGTTCTGCCACTCTCCGTTCCCTTTGGTATAAGATGGGGCTAGTAATAGCACTGGCTGGGCAGGGTTATTGAAGGGATTCAGAAATAACAGATAACTTAAAGCCTCAAGCCCAGTGTTAACCTCAAAGGAAACAAGTAGAAATGTGAGCTATTGTGTGTTTTTGTTGTCATTGGCACCCATAAACACTGGTTTCCCCTCCTTCCCTCTTCCTTTTGAAAAGAAATGCACATTAGGGGCATAACTAAAGGTTATTACTCTTCAGTAAATAAAGTATATTAAGGGATTTATATCTAGAAATCCTAGAACCTCCAAGTTTTTTTTAAGGACAAATCCAAGGAAGCTCTACTTTGGAAACGTCTGGTACTGGCCTCCAGGCTCCTAAAACATTCCAGCAAGGGAACCCATGCTTTCTGGAGGCAGCCTCCCATGACTTCATCCGAGTTTAGGACTCATGCTCTGCTCCTTCCTCAGAAGGAGCCCTCCCCCAAGGACCAGGCCCAGAGTCTCGCCACCACCCAACCTCCCACATTTGTCCCCAACCTTCCCCAGCCCCTGCTCTGTCTGGCCATCTTCAGGGTTTATGTGGCCAAGATGACAGCCCCTATGGCTCCCTTCATCAGTCCCCACACATTGCCAGAGGGATCTTCTTAAAACACATCCTTGCACACAGCTCCCCAGGGCTCCTTCCCAGCCATAGAAAAAATTCAAAATTCTTTAATACAGGTGATCTGGTCCCTGCCTGTGTTTTATGACTTCATTGTCCATCTTGCCACTCAAGCCACCTGAACTGCTAGTCAAATGCCTCACTCATTCATGGCTTCCCTGCTGGAAGTCCCCTCCTGGGATGGTCTCCTCATTCCTACCCGTACCTTACCTCTTTATAGTCACCCCCATCTGCCTCTCCTTCCCCAGCCCTAACCCCTGGCAAATGCTACCCTATTTTCCGTCTCTGTAATTTTCTTACTTCAAGAAAGTTATGTAAATAAAATTATACAATATACAACCTTTTTCATAAAACAGCTTTATTGAGATATAATTCACATACTTCACCCTTGTAAGGTATTAATTTAAGCTTTTAGTATAGTCACAGGGTCGTACAACCATTACAATTTTAAAACATTTTTATCAGCCTAAAAAAACCCTGTGCCCTTCAACAGCCACCCCTAATTTACCCTTCAGCCACCACCCTTCTTTCCCAGCCAGCCCTAGGCAACCACTACTCTACTCCCTATCTCTATAGATTACCCATTCTGGACATTTCATATAAATGGTATACCAAAATATACTAAAAATTATTAAAATGTGCACTTTAAAGGGGCAAAGCATGCGATATGTGAATTATATTTCAACAAAGCTAATCATAGCAGAAAGAAAGCAACTGGTCCTCAAAGCAAACTCAACATCTTCCCTCAAACTCAGTTCCTCCCACTTTGGCCTTTTCAGTGGAACTCCACCATCCAAGCACAACATTTTTCTCCCCTTCCTTCCCTCTTTTTCTTTTTTCTTTTCTTTTTTTTTTTTTTTTTTGAGACATCATCTCACTCAGTCGCCCTGGGGTTGAGAGCTGTGGCATTATTACTCACAGCAACCTCAAACTCTTGGGCTCCAGTGATCCTCTTGCCTCAGCCTCCCAAGTAGCTGGGGGTACTACAGGCGCCTATCACAACGTCTAGCTATTTTTAGAGACGAGGTCTAGCTCTTGCTCAGGCTGGTCTCCAACTCCTGAGCTAGGCAATCCACCCACCTCGGCTTCCCAGAGTGCTAGGATTACAGGCGCAAGACACCGCGCCTAGCCTCCCTTCCTTCCCTCTTAATCCTATCAATTACCAACCCCCAAAGTCAAACTCTGCAATGTGTCTCACACACAGCTCCTCCTAGTCATGCCCAGTAAGAGCCATACTCGTGGAACTCACTTTGCCCTTCTTCGGGGCTGTCACAGTGGCCTCTGACTTCCCTACTTCCATTCTCACCCCAGTCCAATCCGACACACTGTCTCCAGGTTAATTTTCTCGGATTATAGGAGATATCAAAGGACAAAAACTGTGTCTTCCCATTAGAGGACTTCTGAGAGAAGGGCTGTGTCTCTTCCTCAGATTCAGAGGGCGAGGTGGGGGGCTTGAGGACAGAGACACGTCTACCCTTTCACCTTGTGGCTTCCAGGGGCAGGACTGGGTCTTCCACTAAAGCCAAAGGCTCCTAAAGATAGGGCTGTCTTCCCCTACCCGCTCAAGACCGGGGATCTGAGGGCAAAGCTGTGTTTTGTGCCTCTAACTCTTTGGGACTGAACTCAGCACCGTACTTGACTGACAATATCCTTCGTCACACCTCTTCGACCTTATTCGTCACCCCAAGCCCGAGTCTAGCGCCAGGACGGCTAGACCCACTGCTAGTAGTCCCTAATCACTCCTGGACACACCCAGGGCGCAAAGTCTACCTCGACCTAACCCCGCCCTGGGAGCCACGTTGCCTCCTCTCGCCTCCACGCGAAGTGATGGTAAGTGCGGTTCTGAATCCGCTCTCAGAGGAGCCACGGAGCTTTCCAGCCCTCAGGGATTAGGGCCCAGACTCTGTGGTGAATCCAGGGACAGAGAGACCTTGGGCCAGACTCACCACGCAGGCTCAGCAAGCCGTCCTGCGGCGCCGCCATCTTGTTGTTATGCAGTTTCCCGGGCGACCAGGACCTGTGCCCCTCTCATTGGCTAGTTCGAGGGGGCGTGAGCAACCTGGGCGGAGGCGGCTAGAGTCTTCTGTGCTCGAATTCTATTGGCCCACAGACTAGACTCTTCTTGGGATACTGCGAATCCCAGAATGCACCACTCTGAACTGCCGGGGTTGGGGGAAATACAGGGCTTGTTCCTACCGCAGGCCGGCTGTTTGGAGAACCTGAGGTTAGGTTAGGAGACAGGGGGGCGTGGGATGAGAGATGAAAAATTACCTATTGGGTTCAGTGTATCCTATTCGGGTGATGGGTACTTTAAAAGCCACTATGGAATGTATCCATGTAACAAAACTCCACTTGTACCTCCTGAATCTTTGGAAATAAAAAATAAATATAAAAAGAAACTGCTGACAGCCTCTAGACCTAAATTTGTGATTCGGACAGTGCCACTAATTTCCTTCATTAATCTTGGGAGGAATTATCCCTGTAAGTCTATTTCCCCATCTGATCAGTACAGTTCTTCATGGGGATTGCTTTGAGGGTGAATTGAAGTGACGCAATATTTACTAAATGTTTTACCTTAACTCAATTTTTTGTTGTTGTTGTTGTTGTTGTTGTTGTTGTTGCAGTTTTTGGCCGGGGCTGGGTTTGAAACCGCCACCTCCGGCATATGGGGCCGGCGCCCTACTCCTTTGAGACACAGGCCCCGCCCTCAACTCAAATTTTAAAAAGAAAAAACATTAAAAAATAAAATAAATGGGCTAGGTGCAATGGCTTACACCTGTAATCCTAGCACTCTGGGAGGCTGAGACAGGAGGATCACTGGAGGTCAGAAGCTGGAGACCAACATGAGCAAGAGGGAGACTACCCCACCTCCTCACACCTTGCACCCTAGCTCTATCATAAATAGAAAAAGTGGAAAAAGTTATTGGGACGTGGTGATGCCACTGAAGTCTAGCCAAGACAAGAGTGAGACCCGTTCTCAAAATACTACTACTAATAATAAATAAGTTTCTTAAATCTGCGTTTTCTCCACGAATTCCTTGACCAGATGGTGTCCTGAGGGGAAGCTGGAATTCTAGTTCCCTTGTGTAATAGTTGGGTAAAGTACTCCCCCTCCCTTTGGTAAGACTTTTCACCTCCCTGAATCTCATCTGTAATTGGATTAGACTCCCATCACCAGAGCGACTAGAGCCAGTTTAGTTAAGAACACGAACTTTGGGGCAGTGCCTGCGGCTCAAAGGGGTTTGGCACCAGCCCCATATGCCGGAGGTGGCAGCTTCAAACCCAGCCCTGGCCAAAAACTGCAAAAAAAAAAAAAAACGGCTCAGCGCCTGTGGCTTAAGTGGCTAAGGCACCGGCCACGTACACCCAAGGTGGCAGGTTTGAATCCAGCCCAGGCCCGCCAAACAACGAGGGCTGCAACCAAAAAATAGCCCAGAGTTGTAGCGGGCACCTGTGGTCCCAGCTACTTGGGAGGCGGAGGCAGGAGACTCGCTTGAGCCCAGGAGTTGGAGGTTGCTGTGAGCTGAGATGCCACAGCACTCTACCCAGGGGGACAACTTGAGGCTCCTGTCAAAAAAAAAAAAAAAAAAAAAACCCAGGAACTTTGAGTCTGGGCCTGGTGGCTTACATCTATAATCTAGCACTCTAGGAGGCTGAGGCTGGCCAATCCCTTGAGCTCGTGGGTTAGAGACCAGCCTGAGCAAGAGTGAGACCCTGTCTCTAAAAAAATAGCCAGGCATTGTGGTGGGTGCCTGTAGTTCCAGCTACTTGGGAAGCTGAGGCAAGAGGATCGCTTAAGCCTAAGAGTTAGAGGTTGCTGTGAGCTATGATGCCATAGCACTCTACAGAGGGCAACAAAGTGAGACTCTGTCTCAAAAAAAAAAAAAGGGCATGAACTTTGGGGTTAGGAGTATTGGCTACTGACTGTGTGTCCTTGGACCTGTTAAACACTTTAGTTTCTTCATCTGTAAAATGAATTATCTATCAAACACCTGTACAGAGCATGTTTGCAAAAACATTTTCCTGCTATTAATCATCTTCATCATTATCTCTAAACTCTTTCAGCTGTGATGGTCTAGGAGTTGATGCCTTCTGATCTCAGACACCCACTTCCTTAGGCTCAAGTTCAACCACCAAATCCCTTTCTTTACATAACTCAGACTGCAATTTTTAATAATTTATTTTCCATTTGACTTTTTAACCTACATTCAGCATAAGGTAGACAACTTAGGGCATTCTTTATGTACCAATTGGAAGCTAAAGAAAGCTACCAATTATAGGGTGCCTTCCAAGCACCAGATGCCCACATTAGGAGATTTACAGATGAGAAAACTGAATTATACAAAAGTGAAGCGATGGGCGGCGTCTGTGGCTCAGTGGGTAGGGCGCCCGCCCCACATACCAAGGGTGGCAGGTTCAAACCCAGTGCCAGCCAGCTAAAACAGCAGTGGCAACTACAACAAATAGCCAGGTGTTATGGTGGGCGCCTGTAGTTCCAGCTACTCAGGAGGCTGAGGCAAGAGAATCACTTAAGCCCAAGAGTTGGAAGTTGCTGTGAGCTGTGACACCGAAGGGTGATAGAGTGAGACTCTGTCTCAAAAAAAAACCACAAAAGTGAAGTGACTTGCTCAAAACTATACAGTTCTCAAACCCAGAACTGCCTGCCTTAAGTGTCCATGTTCTTTCTAAAAAGTCTCACTCTAATAGGCAAGCACAGGTAAACCAAGCACGCGGGGTGTACAGACCCACTGCCAAGGGAGGGATTTGGGCAGAGAGTGTAACTATAGGTTGGAGATGTGAGAATTCTTTTTTTTTTTTTTTTGAAACAGAGTCTTACTTTGTTGTCCCCTGGTAGAGTGCCATGGTGTCATAACTCACAGCAACCTCAGACTGCTGGGCTCAAGAGATTCTCTTGCCTCAACCTCACAAGTAGCTAATGTTATAGGTGTTGCTTTTTGTTGTTGTTGTTGTTTAGCAGGCTCGGCCAGGTTCGAACCCACCAGTCCCAGAACATGTGGCCAGTGCCCTAACCACTGAGCTATGGGCACCTGAAGTGAGAATTCTTGTTGCTAAGCTGCTCCCAGAAAGTTTTCTGAGGCCTGAGGTGTATGAGGATGAGAAAGTCTGATGCTATGCTGGGTGGGAGCTGAGATCAGAGAGAGTAACAACCTTAAGCTGTCTCCTTGCTAATGAAGGTAAGCCAGAGTAGGGGGCAGAAGCCCTGCCCTCAGAAGCCCTGCTGTGGTCTGGCCCCTGACTCCTGCCTGATTGAAAACAGGGGCCTAAGTGGCATTTACCCAGTTGTCAAGAGTTACCCCATACCTCCCTTCCACCCAAGGCATTTCCTGAGGATTCTACAGTAGACAGACAAAACTGAGAACATCAAGTTCCTGGGAGGCAGGAGGAGCTCTCCAACCTGACTGGACGCGTATTTGATTTCTTTTAAGTTTCTCCAGTGAATGTGTATACTTTTATCATACGTATAAGACTCTGACTTCCCTCTTCTCCAGCTTAGCATGACATTCAGCTTTCATATTCTGAGTCCTACCCTTATGTTCCAGAAACCATCATACTTTTTCTTAAATTCCAGCCTCTCTTTAGAATGGAAACATCTAGGTGGTGCCTGTGGCTCAGTGGGTAGGGTGTCGGCCTCATATACTGAGGGTGGCGGGTTCAAACCCAGCCCTGGCCCAACTGCAACAAAAAAATAGCTGGGCATTATGGCAGGCGCCTGTAGTCTCAGCTACTTGGGAGGCTGAGGCAAGAGAATTGCTTAAGCCCAAGAGTCTGAGGTTGCTGTCAGCTGTGACACCACAGTATTCTACCAAGGGCAACATGGTGAGACTCTGTCTCAAAAAAAAAAAAAAAGTTTGCTAGGTAAAATAACCGGGGAAGTGTTTTTTTTTGCCCAGGAGTCTGAGGTTTCTGTGAGCTAGGGTGAGGCCATGGCACTCTAGCCCAAGTGACAGAGTGAGACTCTGACTCAAAAAAAAAAAAAAAAAAGGAAGAAGTCAGGTTTGGAGAAGGTATATAGGAGTCAGAGATCTAGGTTGTATCCTCAGATCTGCTACTCACTTGCCCTTCTTTGGGCCCTTAGTTTTCCCATCTATAAAATGGAGGGTTTCCCAGGGCTCTTTTAGCTTTGTGACCAGGATTCTGTCTATTCAGATGTTACCCAGACAGAATGTAACTGCTTAGAGGACAGGAGAGGAAAAGGTTTGAAGCTCCTACTTCCCTCCTCAGGTACTGACAGATTCCAGATGGTCTCTCATGCCCCGATTCCTGATGACCTGTGAAAGCCATTCCAGGCCCCTCAAAACCCCATACTATCCCAGCTCAGCTTCATAACACAGCAGAGTGTCAGGAAGTGAAAATGAAGCTTCTAGGTTTGCAAGAAAATGTTTACACATATGAGTCTGGCATTTAATATCCTCACATTGCTGGTCTCAGGGCTTAGCCTGCCCAGCTGCCTCTTTGTAAGAGGGGACAAGATTGCCCAGTGTGATGGACCCAATTTTTAGCATAGCAATCTTGGACTTCAACATGTCTCCTGTTCGCTGGGCTGATGCCCTCTGGGCCCTGCTGCCTGCCTGGCTTTCATGAACTCCCAGAATCACCCATCCTCACAAGTATACCAAAGATAGCAGATAACTTGAGTCACCAATCAGGAGAGACCACTGAGTGAAGGGGCAGAGGGGGTGGTGATGAGAGTGGTGGGTGGTTAGGAGCTCCTCCCTCTTCCCTCCCTACTACCTACCTGCCTTCTTTCCACTTCCTGACTCTCATCAGTCTTGACAGTTCTTCTTTTGAGCTGGCTTCAGCCAGGGGCTAGAGGCCCCTAAGGGCCCACCAGGTCTTCCCTGGGCTTGTAAGACAAGGCCCCAAATGGCACCTGTAGCTCCAGCTGCTTGGGAGGTTGAAGCAGGAGGATTGCTTGAGCCCACAATTGGAGGTTGCAGTGAACTATGATTATGCCATGGCACTCCAGCCTGGGAGACAGAGCAAGTCCCTGACTTAAAAATAAATAAATACTTCCCAATACTTCATTCAGAACCTGCAATCCATCTATAACCCTATCTTGGAATCTAAATCTATCCCAACCTTTCTCCTTCACCTCCTATCTCCTGCCCCAATCTCCTTTAACCATAACAAACCCATTTATGTAATATTTACTATATGTTGACTCTTTTATTTTTTTGAGACAGAGTCTCAAACTGTTGCCCTGGGTAGAGTGCTGTGGCATCACAGCTCACAGCAACCTCCAACTCTTGGGCTTAAGCAATTCTCTTGCCTCAGCCTCCCAAGTAGCTTGAACTACAGGCACCTGCCACAACGCCCAGCTATTTTTTGGTTGTAGTTGTCATTGTTGTTTGGCAGGCCTGGGTTGGATTCGAACCCGCCAACTCTGATGTATGTGGCTGGTGCCCTAGTCACTGAACAAAAGGTGCCAAGGCTGTGTTGACTTTTTAAAAATGGGTTATTAGATGCATTACATTTAATCCTCCAGCAGCTTGTTTTGTGAAAGGCTCACAGAAGTATAATTTCTGGCCCAGGGTTTTGAGTTCATAAGAAATTAAACCAAAACTCAACCTCCAAGACTCAAGACTCCAAGCCCAGGGCCTGTTTACTATGGCAGTGGCCCTCAGTTTGCCTACCACCCATAGTAGGCCTGGTCCCTCTCCCGAACTCATGGCCACGCCCTTAGAACCTGGGGCCTCTCTTAACACATACACCCCCACCTGTGGAAAGGAAGCAGCACCCTCCCTACCTTCCCCATAGGCCCTCCTTCTTCTCCCTACACCACCCCGCCTCCCCTGTCTCCTGGTTCAAAAGCAGCCAGGCCAAAAAAGAACCACACAGCCCCGGCTCATCGCTGTTAGCCAAAAGCTGCTATCAAGAGAGAGCCACCAAGATCCTCCCAAGATGAAGGGCTTTCTCTTCCTCACCATCAGCCTCCTGGTTATGATTCAGGTAAAAGCAGTCTTTCAAAGCCCCTGGCACCACCACCCAGGACTCCCCAAACCTGGGTGGCACAACAGGGAGGGAATGCAGGCTCCCAGAGACCCAGCCCACTCCCTGTGGAGCAGAGGCAGAAAGGTCTCAACCGGGGAACCAGGGATGCAGAGGGCTCGGCTGCCCAGCCTTCCAGCTCTTCTGGCTGGGGCTGGATTGCTTAAGGGCTGCCCCAGATAGAAGCCTAAATCCACAGCTGGGAGAACTTATAGGGTCCTAGGCATGCTGAGGCACCCGAGGGGTACTGAGGGAGAAGTGGAAGCTTAGGAAGACACCCTGAGTGAGGATGACACAAACCCACAGGGGGCCTGGGGAGATGGTCTGGAGAGGCCAGATGTCCATGTGGAGCCTGCTATGGTTCCAGAGGTAGTGGGGAACCCCTATACCTCCCACCCCCACCACTCCCCCACCCAGAGAAGTCTGGATACTTGGGAATACAGAACTCTAGCACTTCAGAAACAGCTGGGGTCTCAAAATCAACTGCTATGCCAGGAGGCAGCTTTGGTAAAACCCTATGTACCCCGTGGCGGGGGGGAGGAGGGGGAGGACCAGTCAGTAGAGAGACAGGGGCTATCAGGTTCTAGATCAAGAACAGCTTGTTCAAGCATCAAGAATAGCTTGATCACTATCAAAAACAGTTTAATCTCCATCAAGAGCAACTTTAGTTGAGCTTGATCAAGCATTAAGGACAGCCTGTTCACCATTGGGCTACTTCTCCACCTGTCATCTGCCCACCCACACTAGGCCAAGTGCTTCTCATTCAGGCCTGGCTTGTGTGACCCTCACAACTGAAATGAACTTCTGATTTAGAAGATGAGGAAACTGACCTCGAGGCTAAGGCCCTTGCTGGGCTAGTAAGGTCAAGGGCAGGGGCTCCCCGTCTCCATGTATGCTGGAGAGGCTGGTGGCCTAGGAGAGATGGGCCAGGGAATACCTTTGTCCCTAGGCAGCTGCCTTTGTCAAGGCAGCGATCAGCCAAACATCTCAGTGTAAATAGTGATCACATAGAACAGAAATAGGACTGTTTTATGGAGTTAGGGGAAAGGACTGTGTCTTTAAATAACAAACAGGGGATTCTAAAATGCCTCTGAGCTTCCCTTAATTTTCCTCTTGCAGATACAAACTGGAGTCTTGGGAAACACGACCACCGGGGCCGGGGCCGGGGCCGGGAGCGCCAGCAGTGCTGCTGATACCTTGGCATTCCACAACGTGGGTGGAGGCAGCTTCCTCTTCTTTTTGACCAACACCCTAATACACCTCTTCTACCTCAGCTGAGGTGCCTCAGCCCCCGCCCTGGGCCCCCTGAAACAGCTGCCACAGTCATTTGCAAGGGAATTCTCCCTCACCCTTGGGAGGGGTTGATGCCACAGATCATCAGCTTGTAGAAACCAACAGGCAGGGCTGTGAGGGCAATGGCCAAACTAGGGCAGTACTGATATTGTGGGGCAGGCAGCCTCCAGCCAGGGGTTAATAAATATATCCTAGTACTTGGAGTGGAATCTTTTGTGTGTTCATTGGACATTGCTGGGCCCTATGAGCCAGGTATCCAGCAGTATCAAGGAGCTTCTCAGCCCCCACCAGCAAGGAAGGTGGCACCAGATAGCACCTACCCTGGCTTCCTGGCCCATAGCGCAATGCTGAGTGCCAGGGCCCAGAACTTGGCATCCTCGCCAACCCCTTCAGTTATATTTCCTTTACTTGTGTGTGGATGTTTGGGAATGATGGTCCCGGAGCTCCCACCACCCTGCCCCTAGACCCTGGACATCCCAGGTCCAGTGATCCCCTACCTCAGTACTGGATCTCCTGAGAATGACAGATCTAGGGTGGTCTTCGGTCCTAGGAATATGCTTCCTCAGTCTGTGGGTTCCCAGAAAACCAGCCCTACAAATGACTGGGGGCTGTAGAAGGATGACAGGGCATCTGTCTACTTCCCACTCGCTACCCATGGGCTAGAGAGGTAGTGATGATATACAGCTGCCCCAACCATTCCTGCTCTCCTAAAAACGTTGGGTTGAAGTGTGGAAGTTGGGAGCTGCAGAGGAGGAAGAGAGCCCCAGAGCAGCCCCCAAGGGCCCTTTCCATCTCAGCCTCTTCCTTGAGGACCTCAGGGAACAGAGGAGGTTCCTCCTCTTCTATGTCCTGTCTTCGCTGAGCTGGGTTAGGGACCCAGCCACCCATCCTAGCTTCTTTGACTGAGGCCAAACCTAGACCTTGAGACCAGAATTGGGGGAAGTGGAGAGGAGCCCTGAGGACACAGAGCTTTGGGGTGTGGCGTGCCCGGCCCCCCAGCTCCCTAGCCCGGCCCACTGAACTTGTAAGTTTCACCTCTGAACTTGTCTGCCTCCCTAGAACATCTTCCCTCTGCCACCTCTAACTTAGGTGACTGCTTCCCACTTCTACATCCCTCCTCCAGACAGCTGGTTTAGGTGCCTGCTTTGTGCATTCCTCCGCACTTCCGTTCTTACCCTGCCATAGAGGCATCACCCTACCTTTCAGAATCCTCCACTGGAGTTCCCTGAGGGCAAGACAGCCCAGTCCCAGAGCCTGCCAGAGCAGGCTCTTCAAACACACCTTCTGGGGCGTCGCCTGTGGCTCAGTGATTAAGGCGCCAGCCTTATATACCGAGTGTGGCGAGTTGGAACCAGGCCCCGGCCAAACTGCAACAAAAAATAGCCAGGCGTTGTGGCGGGGCCTATAGTCCCAGATACTCGGGAGGCTGAGGCAAGAGAATCGCCTAAACACAGGAG